TGCCTGATGAGGGAAATGAAGTTTCTAATGTTTTGGTATGTCTATGCCCATGCATATATTTTTGCATCCATACATATGTGTACTCCAAAACTTTCTATGTGTAAAATTCCCAGTACTTAAATGATTGGATTACAGGTAGATCTTCTGATGGGTGTAAAGTACATTTCAACTTGGGTGTAGTGCTGAATGCCTGTAATCCCAACACTTCAGAGGTAGAGGCAGTAGCATCAGCAGTTCTAGGTCATTCTTTGCTGCATAGAGAATTTGAGGCCACTCTGTGCTACACAATATTCTTTGTCATAAAACCAGTACATTTTAAAATTTGCTAGTCATTGCAAAGTGCTCTGTATGAAAACAGTACTTACCTTAGATTTGTATTCCTTCAGCAGTGTATGAAAGTGTTTCTTCCTAATATGCTGGGTCAGTGTTTGAGACAGGGCCCGCTGAACCTAGACCTCACTGACTGGGCTAGGCTAGCTGACCAGCAGGCATGGGGGCTACAGGTGGGCCGTCTCTCTCTGTTTTACACGTGTTCTGGGGATCTAAACCCAGGTCCTCATGCCTGCATGGTAAGCACTTTACCAACTGAGCCACGTCCCCAGCCTCTTTTTTAGTGTTTTTGTTATACTCAAACTTATTTTTATATAGCCAAATTTAACCATTTATTATGGCTCTGAGCTTTCAAGCATACTTAAAGCCTTCCCTTTCCAAGGTTCTTTTTAAAGTTCTAGTGTTTGAAATTATCTTTTACGTATTGTTTTCCACTAGTACTTAAATTTTTATACATATGAAATTAGTTTTAGTGGAAGCAATGAGGTACTGATATAACCAGATTTTTTTTTTTTTCAAATGGCTATCCATTTGTCACTGCCATCTTTGCTGAATTCTGTCTCTGTTGTGCATGGATATAATTATTACCATTGTTGTTTATCATTGGCTACATTATGTGTTGGGGAACATTTTCATGCTCTTGTTCTGCATTTACCTGTGGTCTGTTTGCTTGTGTCTGCTAGCACCACACACTTGGTTAGTCCTTGAGTCTGATTGTCCTAGTAAGCTAGTGTTCCTTCCTTCCTCCTCCCAGACATTTCCTGTCTTTCCAAGATCAGTTTCTTCATCTCTAAAATAACATCTCTAAAAATCCGGGAAAATATCACCATGTACCTTGTCGGAGATACCTGTTTAAACTTCACTTATTCCCTGTTGACTAGGCTGTTACTATAGTAATGAAAAAAGACTTGTACTGTGCATCTCTTTAACTCATTTTCCATTCTGACCATTTCTCCTTGAAGGACCTAACCATATGCCAATGCAGGGACCTGGACCCAATCAGCTCAACATGACAAACAGTTCCATGAATATGCCTTCAAGTAGCCATGGCTCCATGGGAGGTTACAACCATTCTGTGCCATCATCCCAGAGCATGCCTGTGCAGAACCAGATGACAATGAGTCAAGGGCAACCAATGGGAAACTATGGTCCCAGACCAAACATGAATATGCAACCGAATCAAGGTAACTATGCTCCTCTCATCACTCCTTCCCTCATGCCCCTCTTCCCAATTCATGATCTCTTTCTTAATTATTACTATTGGTGTGTATGAGTGCACATATATACACATGCATATACAACATAAGTCATTTTGGCATTGCTTGTATTTATGGATAACCAGTTGGGACCGTATAACCTATTTGGGAGCTTGTATGTGGAGCAGCCTTTAGTTAGCCTTTATACAAATCTTCCTAAAGCAGCATGTCTCTCTCTCTCTCTCTCTCTCTCTCTCTCTCCCCCTTCCTCCCTCCCTCCCTCCCTCCCTCCCTCTTCCTCCTCCCTCCCCCTCTTCCTCTCCAGTCATTGGACCTTGTGGG